TTTTTTTTTGTGTGTGTGTGTGTGTGTGTGTGTTTTTGGTTTGTTCTTTCGATTGAGAAGAAGATATATGATGCTTGTAAATCTGTTTCCTGTATTTGGTTTCGTAGCTGGCTTGAATAATACGCCTAAGTCCTAAGTAATAAAATTTTGATCTTCTACGTATATATACACGGTCTTGTAAATTTGGTCAAAACTAAATTAAAGAATGCTTAAGAGTTGAAACTAATGAATATCTTCTCCATTTTCTATTAGTATAAAGAGGAAAATAAACCCGCTAGCTATTCGATAACGTCAATCTAATTGGTCTCTAAACGTATATTCTACTTAACAAATAAGTATGGTTGCAGATATTCTAGTAAAGTATATAATTGCAACAGTAACAAGGCTAGGGCTTTTTGTATTTTATACATCCGCTCCTGCTTTTGTATATGATATACCTATGAAAGGGATTTGTTAGGAACTAATGTTGTGCGCACAAGGAATATCCATAATATTATAAGCTTTAACAATACTTATATATTTGAAGTATATTAAACATTCTATATATATGGAGGTTATTATCTCACAATATTCTACTTACTAATAGCTAATCTTCAAGTGGGGTGTCATTTTTATCTCGGTGGAAAGCCGTAAACATATGTTTCTTGATTGCATTAAGGTGAGAGAGGTCTTGATGACGTGGTTGTATGAGCCGGATGTAGGGGCGAAGCTACATTTACTTAAGGTAGTCAATATACCATCCTTCGTCAAATTACATTGTATATAAGTAAAATATTAGGTTTTAAAGATATATAATGTATATTGAACATTCTTTGTCGGATAATTTTTTCACTTCTTCAAGTTTGAACACTCTTAGAGAAATTTCAAGTTTCGCCGCTGACTAGACGTGAAAGGTATTAGCATGGCTCAGTTTCCTAGTGGTGTTGTTAATGACTTAGATTCTTTGAAGGCTCGTCAAACTTGTGCAGTACTTTGAAAATTTTGGGCCATGAGGAACGAGTTTGTGGAATCGTAAAGTTCTCCTTTACATATGTGTTATCCGAAGCTCTGAATTTTTCGAATGAGTACGAGCTTGAAAAACAATCGATTGGGGTCTGTTGGGTAATCCTATGGGTTTGTGGACTCTTCTTGGTGTAAGCCTACATATGAAATCTGGAAATACAATATAGATGTAACTATCTGTTTGCTTAGAGTTACAGTGGAGTAGGTTTGTGCGCGATTCAACGGACCAGTTTGTAGTTGCAACTTCTTCGATTTTTAGAGGCTGTGTCAACGATAGATATGTTGAAGTTATGGATTTATATTTAATTTGTTCTTGTTTGATTGTTTCAAAATGTTGATTGCCCATGTTATCACGACCCAAAACTCAACCAGACATTATCAACACTGACAACTCAGACATTATCAACACTTTCAAGTTTAAAATAAACTAAATCAGGTTTAATTAAGTAAAAATCTCATATAACTGGATAAAACCGTCACAACTCGATACAGAAGTTTCCCAAAACCAGGGTGTCACTGAGTACATGAGCATCTATACAATACGAAGTCTGATACACTGTCTAAGAAATGCAGAAACTGAATAAGTAAACTGAGGGATAGAGGAGGAGAGTCAAGGTCTGCGGACGCCAGGGCAGCAAACTCGATAATCTCCGAATGACTGAACTCTGAGAATCAGCAACCACCGTGCCCGAAAATACCTGAATCTGCACACAAAGTGTAGGGTGTAGCGTAAGTACAACCAATTCAATAAGTAACAAATCTAACCTTTGGACTGAAAGTAATGACGAACTCGAACATTACTACCCACATATAGAATTAATAGTGAAATTTATGAAAAATATGACAGTAATATCTCAGAAATTCATAATCTGCAGGTAACGATACAAGAATTTAGGCATACTTCTATGTTTAACAATTAAACTCAGAACAGATAAGGTATGTTAAGTCTGAATGATATGAGGAATATGACATCTCTATATCTACATGCCAATATGCATATCGTTTGTGATGCATCACAATAAAAGCCTCACGTACTCACACTCTCGGAGTACTCAACCTGACTGTCTCAATTCTCACTCATCACACTCAATCACTCAGCACTGTACAAGGCATATCCAGCCCAAAAGCAAATAAATCTAGGGCAGATCGAGCCCAATGCAAATGAATCAATAGCAATTGTACTTACTGTGGGTGTGCAGACTCCGGAGGGGCAGATCTAACCCAAGCGCTATAATAAGCCCAGTCCTGGCATGAATCAATAAAGTCTAATGCGGCGTGCAACACGATCCCATAAGTATCACTCATAAATAGGCACTCGGCCTCACTTAGTCATCGATCTCTCCAGTCTCTCGAGCTCACAACATTCATGCTAAGCAGCCCAAATCAATGATATATGATGTGACAATGTACGATAACGGAAACTGAGATATGATATGCAATGATGAATGCGACTGAGTACATAACTACAATTAAGCAAATAACTCAACAACAAGGAACGACCACTGTGGGTCCCAATAGTACCAACATATAGCCTAGATATGATTTCTAGCATAAATCACAGCTCAAGTGCTCTAACACATAGTGTTCCATAAAAATGATAAGATAAGATAGCTACACAGTTCCATGGAATCGACTAAATCACAATTACTACGGTGCATGGCCACACGCCCGTCACCTCGACACCAATCACATAACACGAAATTCGGGGTTTCATACCCTCAGAACCAAGTTTAGAAGTGTTACTACCTCAAACCGTGGAAAAACTCTACTCCAATAAGCCCTTGCCTCGCGAATAGGACTCCGAATGCCTCGAATCTTGCCACAAACAATTCGATACAATCAACACGAGCTAAATGAATCAATTCCATACGAAAATACTAAGTTCTTAATCAAAAGTCAGTAAGTCAACTAAAAAATGGACCCCCGAGCCCACGTCTCAGAATTCGATAAAAGTCACAAAATCCGGAAGCCCATTCAACCACGAGTCCAACCATATCAAATTTACGAAATTCCGACACCAATTCGTCACTCAAATCCCCCAAATTAACTCTCCAAATCTCTAGCCTCAAACTCCCAAAATTCCACCTCAAAACACACAAATTAGGTGGGAAATTTAATAGGGAAACAAGTTTATTGAATAAAAATGATCACAAGTAACTTACCTCAAGAAACCCCTCAAAATACCTCTCAAAAATTGCCTTAGTCCGAGTTTGAAATGTCCGAAATGAGAAAAAATCACGAAACCCTTCGGATTTAACACTACCTGTGCGTTCGCACTTGCGACCCACTTAACTGCATCTGCGGTCTCGCAGGTGCGGACACTTTTCTGCTTTTGCAGTAATACCTGAAGGTCCCTGCCTTCGCTTTTGCTATCACACACGCGTAGATACGAGTCCGCATCTGCGGAGCTTCCTCCGCACCTACGCTCCACATCCTCCTCACCGAGTTCTGCTTCTGCGCCCATATGCCGCATCTGCGATCACGTAGGTACGAAAATACCCTCACACTTGCGACCACTGCACACCCCTTCCCAGGCCACTTCTGCGCTCCTCGCGTCGCTTCTGCGAGCTCTCACCTGCGATCAAAACTCTGCAGGTGCGATCAGACCAGACCTGGTGCACTTTAGCAGACCTTCAATTCCAAACTTTAATCCGTTAACCATCCGAACTCCGCCCAAGGCCCCCAGGACCTCAACCAAACACACAAACAAGTCTTAAAACACGATACAAACTTAGTCGAGCCCTCAAATCACATCAAACAACATCAAAAATACGAATCACACCTCAATTAGAGCCTAATGAAAACTAGGAAATTTCAACTTCTATATTCGATGCCGAAACCTATCAAATCACGTTCGATTGACCTCAACTTTTGCACACAAGTCGCAAATGACATAACAGACCTACTCTAACTCCCGGAACCAAAATCCGAGTCCGGTAACCACAAAGTCAACTCTTGGTCAAACTCTCAATTTCCAAAACTTCAAATTTCTAACTTTCACCATTTCAAGCCTAAATCAACTACGAATCTCCAAGTCACTATCCGGACATACTCCTAAGTCCGAAATCACCCAACGGAGCTATCAGAACAATCAAAACTCTATTTCAGAGCCATTTACACACAAGTCAACATCCGGTCAACCTTCTCAACTTAAGTTTTCAAACCTTGAGACTAAGGGTCTCAACCTATTCCGGAACATCCCCGGAACCGAACCAACTATTCCGGCAAGTCACATAGCAACAATTAAGCATAAAATAAGTAGTAAATAGGGGACTGGGTCTACAACACTCAAAATGACCGGCCGGGTCATTACACATGTATAATTAAATATTGATGTTTTATACTTTAATACCACACAAGAGGGGAGATGATTTGTATGGTGTCCGATTTTTCGTGTGCACAGTTTATAGAAGTACCTGGTTCTTCTATGTGTTCCTCATACTACTGTTGCGGAATAATAAATGTAGAAAGTAAAGAACACAAGTATTTTTACATGGAAAACACCTGGTTCAAAAGGTGAAAAAACCACGACGTACTACCCAGTAGGATTTTTTTCAACACTTCACTAAATCACTGAGCCAAAAATAGTATTTACAAAACTCTTTGTAAACCTAAGGATTACCTCTAACCCTTTGTGGCAACCAGCCTCAGACTGTTGCGATAATTTCAAGTTAACTCTAACTTGAACATTATACTCAGAGTACCTAGTACAATTGCTTCTGAAGAAAGCTGAAAGGTACAACTCAAAAGCCCTACTACAATTGAACTAGAATAAAAGACATACACTTG